GGACCATTGGCTCCATGGAAAATTTCTGTCAGAAATCACAACCTTGCCATAAGGTGTCGTCGCCGCCATCGCCGATCTCGGACCTTGCATGAGGCGCTACAAGGCAGAACCTGGATCTCTGACATCCATGGAGCCTTGTCTCCTGCTACCCTTGTTGAGTACTTCGAGGTTTGGCTCCTCATTCAGACCGTTGCGCTAATCACGAACCCTGACTTGATCAGTTGGAAGTGACGGACAGTGGAGTTTAGTCTGCGAGCTCCTGCTACAAGGCTCTTTTCTCGGGCAGCACAATTACCACCAATTGGCGCCTTATTTGGAAGAACCGGGTACCACTTGGAGTTAAATTCTTCCACTGGCTTGCCAACTAGAGTCATTGCTTGACCGCCGATCGACTTGCCCGTCATGGCCTCCCCCATGGCCTGATCTGCATCCTCTGCTCGCAAGAGCTGGAGACGATTGACCATCTCCTGAGGTTCTCTCTTGGTGCCGGCTCACCACTTGTTCAACAGGTTTTTTGCCTGGTTCTCCTCGACTATGGATACTTCACCAGCCTCCCTTCGTAAGGGCCTTAGGTCGATCGTCAATCTCACTGCGTGGAATATTTTGAAGCATCGAAACGCTGATATCTTCGATGGCCTCACACCCAGCTTGACTAACCTGGTTCGCGTCATCAAGGACTTAGCCTTATCCTGCTAGTAGCCTAGCATGCTCTCTTCGGGCTGAGCATCCCCTTCTTCCTGTTCATGGCATCCCATTCTACGCTTTCTAGTGTATGTAGTTTGGACATGCAACAATGTAACTCTGCAACTCTCTTTTTCCTATCAATGAAACGATACACAACGTTGTGTATTAAACCTTTCGCTGCGATTTACATCATGATCTTCTTTTCCCGAAGGGTCAGTGGACTACCAGCACGCGTGCCTTGCGGTAGTGCACTAGTGCGTGCTCTACCAAAAGGGGGCCCTTTCACATATACACCAGCTTCACGCCAACACCATATTTTGATTGTAATTGGAAAGGGAACTACGTATTTTGGTGCAGAACACCAAGATCTGAAGTCCTGACATAGGAGCCGCAATGCTTTAGGATCGATGTCTTCAGTCCAGCTTGTTGAGTCACACCAAGAAAAGTTAAAAAAGATTCACCGATCCACTCTACAATCTGAAATCTGAAGTAGCTGAGATCGATTTTATCTTCACTGACTTGACTTTCTATCCTAGTACCACGTTGCGCCGTTTCTAGTACTATTGCTCCCCTTGTTGCCGCCGTAGAGGCGGAACAGGTTGAACGCGGAGAAGGATGCGAGGAGCACGGCGGCGAGTCCGGCGACGACGGCGCACGCGATGCCCGCGCCGACCTGCCTACAGAAGGCGCCGTAGAGGCCGCAGATCCCCATCCACTGCAGCTCCGGCTGCCCGAGCTTCCCGAGCAGCGACGACTGCAGCGCCGCCGCCGTCGCGGCCAGCATCGCGTACGCCAGCAGCTGGTCGCCGGAGAAGACCGACCAGGCGAGCACCCTTCTGCTCATGACCAGCGCGCCGCCTCCCCTCGCCATCGCCACGGCACAGCGCGCCGCCTGCAGTAGACTGTACACGACGGCAGCGCCGTTGGCGGCCACCAGGAGCACCAGAGCCTTCATGTCGGTGTACTTGGCCCTCCGCTCGAGGGAGAAGAAGGTCCTGGTCTGGCTGTCGGTGACCACCAGCGCCGCCGCCACCGCGCCGAAGCCGCCGACGAGGCACCGCAGCACCAGCTCCCACACCTTCATCTTCCTCTCCGCCGGACCCGCCATGACACCCACGTCTAGAAGTGCGCGTGTGGAGGCTCGTTGTCGTTGAGACTTGAGATGAGTGCTGGCTCCACGAAGTTCTTCTCCATGGCCATTTTATAGGGGAAGAGTTCCACTGAACAGGTAGTGGGAATGTGGGATCCTCCGTGGCGCTAGATTTCCTCCGGCTACTTATTACTGCCATCATTGCTGGAGTGCTTTCCGAGCAGCAAGTGCGTCGTCTTTCAGGTGTGCATGCCAAGACCAACTTTGCCGATATGGGTTCACATACCACCCCAACAAACTCTGGGGACACGTATATAGGTTCCCACTTTTTGATAAACTGGTGGTGGTTTTTAAGCTCACTCAGAAATTAGATGACCAAACTAGTAGTCACAGTGACCACGCGCGCCGTTAAGCTTTGCGTCACGACTCACGTGTAGCGGTGTAGGCAAAGAAATATAAACTCCAGGTGTAGGCAAAGAAACAGAAATTCTTAATCGGTTTTCTTAGTTTTTTTAGGGGAATCGGTTTTCATAGTTACAACCAGGCGGAGGCACCGCGTGGCGTCGTGAAGCCCATGTCTGTGACTGCATTATATTTCTTATATAAAAGAAAAGAAGACAATGGTAAGCGAGTTGATAGTTGATAATGTGCAAGCTTAATTTAACTTAAATAAATGGGATTTCTATTTCTGTGTCCCTCTTCGCTTAGTCCTCCTCAGTTTTGCCCGCGCACTAAGCCAGTCCTCACTTTCCCCCTCCACTGTGCGGCCCACCCTTGCCCGAGCCCAAACGGGGTTTGGCGTCGGGTCAAAGGCTTTGACCGTTACTGGGCGTGGTTTCTGACTCGTGGGACACCCCTGTCAGCGGCTGCCCGCCCGTAGATGGTGGGCGCATATACTGATTTGTGGGACACCTCTGTCAGTGGCTGCGCGCTCGTAGATGGTGGGCGCATAGTCCGACTTATGGGACACCTCTGTAAGCGGTTGCACGGTCATAGATGCTGGGCGCATATTCTGACTTATGGGACACCTCTGTCAGCGGCTGCGCGGTCGTAGGTGGTGGCTGCAGTTACTGGCGCGTGGGATACCTCTGTCAGTGACTTCACGGGCGTAGGTGTTGGGCGCAGTTCTGGCTTGTGGGACACCTATGTCAGCGGTTGCGCCAGCCGAAAAAAAGAGGTGGCTTATTGAGCCAGGAAAAGTACTCAAACCAGAGACCACACGCTCAAAGAGAGGCGCAAGAGCCAACCGACTAAGTATGTGTACGTGATTTTTAAAACAGTCCTCACCATTTTATGCACTAAACAAAGCGAGGCATAAACCAATCGTTTACTCACTATATGTAATATACCATCGGGGTGCTAAGAGTTTTGTTCAAGCCATTTGGTGTGGCGGATGCACTTTAGTCAATCAAACTGGGGTCAACACTGCAAGTTTGATCCCAGTTTGAAAAGAAAACAAAGAAAATGAAAAAAGGATCAAAAAATCAAATGCCTTTGGACTGAGCCATCTTATGTGCACTAGTTTGTGGGAAAATTACTGAACTTGCAATACAACAAGTCTGAAAAAAAAACTTCACAAAATGACCTATCTACAATGGACTTGTGTGGGATGGCCACATACGTGGAAAAATCCATGATAACATGCCCAAGGCACAACTATTGGTGTAACCATAGTGGACAATGTTTCATAGGAATTTGCAATTATTTTGTAATAAAAATATTTTTTCCATTTTCCAAGCGCCTGAAATGACTTTTGTTTGTGAAGGAAGTGCCTCAAATAATTTTGAAATTTGCTCCATTACATTTTTCATCAAAAGCAGGCCACATTGGATGGGCGCTGACCAGGTTTCATCAGTTTCAGAGTAATATTGCTATATTCCATGCATTTAGTTGAATTTCATTGAATTGTCAGGAAACACCCAAATTTGCACTACAAGTGTGATATGGACTGCTCCTGAAATTTCTGAAAAATCATTTTATGCTACAATACTGGTGGTGCATGAGCTTGGGATATGGCAAGTAGAAATTCCAAACCATTTTGTATGAATGGTCAACACTGCAAGTTTGACCCGAGTTTCAAAAAAAAACAAAGAAAATGAAAGAAGGATAAAAAATTCAAATGCCTTTGGACTAAGCCATCTTATGTGCACTAGTTTGTGGGAAAAATATTAAACTTTCAATACAACAAGTCTGGAAAAAACCTTCACAAAAATGGCCTATCTACAATGGACTTGTGTGGACTTGAAGGCATATGCACATGGAAATGGCCACATACCTGACAAAATCTATGATAGCATGCCCAAATTTGGCACAACTATTGGTGTAACCATAGTGGACAATGTTTCATAGGAATTTGCAATAATTTTGTAATAAAAAATAATTTTCCATTTTCCAAGCACTTGAAATGACTTTTGTTTGTGAAGGAAGTGCCTTAAATAATTTTGAAATTTGTTCAATTTCATTTTTCATGAAAAGCAGGCCACATTGGATGGGCACTGACTAGGTTTCAGTAATATCGGAGTAGTATTGTTATATTCCATGCATTTAATTGAATTTCATTGAATTATCAGAAAAGGCCGAAATTTGCACTACAAATGTGATGTAGATTGCTCCTGAAATTTTTGAAAAATCATTTTATGCTACAATATTGGTGGTGAATGAAATTGGAACAAGACACGTAGCAATTCCAAACCATTTTGTATGAATGGTCAACACTGCAAGTTTGACCCCAGTTTGAAAAACACAAATAAAATGAAAAAAGGCTCAAAAATTCAAATGCCTTTGTACTGAGCCATCTTATGTGTTTGTGGGGAAAAATACTAAACTTGCAATACGGCAAGTCTGAAAAAACCCTTCATAAAATGGCCTGTCTACAATGGACTTGTGTCGATTTGAAGGCATATACACATGGAAATGGCCACATACCTGGGAAAATTCATGATAACATGTGCAAATTCGGCACAACTATTGGTGTAACCGTAGTGGGAAATGTTTCATAGGAATTTGCAATTATTTTGTAACACAAATATTTTTTTTCCATTTTCCAAGCCTTGAAATGACTTTTGTTTGTGAAGGAAGTGCCTCAAATAATTTTGAAATTTGTTCCATTTCATTTTTCATCAAAAGTGGGCGACATTGGATGGGCGCTGACCAGGTTTCAGCAATTTTAGAGTAATATTGCTATATTGCATGCATTTAGTTGAATTTCATTGAATTATCAAAAAGACCCAAATTTGCACTACAAATGTGATGTAGATTGCTCCTGAAATTTTTCGAAAATTATTTTATGCTACAATATTGGTGGTGGATGGGCTTGGGACAAGGCAAGTAGCAATTCCAAACCATTTTATATGAATGGTCAACACTTGAAGTTTGAACCCAGTTTAAAAAATAAAGAAAAAGAAAAGAGGCTCAAAAACTCAAATGCCTTTGGACCGAGCCAGGAAAAATACTAAACTTGCAATACAACAAGTCTGGAAAAAACCCTTCAGAAAATTGACACTGTCCGATTGAAAACACCCAATTATTTTTGCATCTTCATAAATTTAGCTCACCACTAGTCACACACAAGCAAACAGGGCACAAATTGGAAATTCAAACATGCATAGATACAAACATTCAAATTGGACATTCAAACAACACAAAATACATTTAAAGTTTATAATTTGTACACACATAAACCCTAAACAAAGCTACTGATCGTCGTCGTCCATGGGGTGATGGTGACATCAGCCACCCAGGCGACGACCGCTTGTCGCAGCCCCGACGAGTCCACCGGGTCATGGGGTGGCGCTGTGGACCATTTTTCGATTCATGCATCGCGAGGAGTAGCCCCGGCAGGTCTGCAGGGTCGCCGGCTCGCTGGCCATCGTCCCCCTGTACTCCGCCAGCAACGGCGGCTCCGGCTCCGGCTTGGGAATGCATAGGGGGCAGCGCGAGCACGTCCCTTGCTCCGGCTTGGGAACGCGCAGGGGGGCGCGCGAGCTCGTTCCAGGCTCGGGCTTGGGCACGGGTAGGGGGTCGCACGAGCTCCAGGCTCGGACTTGGGCATGCATAGGGGCAGCGTGAGCTCATCCCCGGCTCCATCTTGGGCACGCACAGGGGGCTCGGTGTCGCTGGCTCTGGCTTGGGCACGTGTAGGCCCCTGTTACTGCTGCTAGCACCAGCGCCGCCTCCTCCAGAGTGGGCGCGGCCATCGGCGTGGATCGAGCCGTGGCCTGTGGCGGCGAAACCCAGTCGCCCTCGCGCAGGCCGACTTGGACGCAACACGCGGCCATGATGTCAGGGAAGGTACGCCCTTCCCAGAAGGCATACTCTCATCAATGTTCTGCCGCGACATCGGCGGGTAGCGGCCGTCTTAGTGCTCGATGTGGGGGGTGTTCTCTATCTCCAGGATCTCCTGCCACCGCCGGCTGTTGTGACGCCCCCGATTCAATCGTACACTAATCATACACGTAAATGTGTACGGTCAAGATCAGGGACTCACGGAAAGATATCACAACACAACTCTAGACACAAATTAAAATAATACAAGCTTTATATTACAAACCAGGGGCCTCGAGGGCTTGAATACATAAGCTCGAATACAAACGAGTCAGCGAAAGCAACAATATCTGAGTACAGACATAAGTTAAGCAGGTCTGCCTTAAGAAGGCTAGCACAAAAGTAATAACAATCGAAAAGGCAAGGCCTCCTCCCTGGGAGCCTCCTATCTACTCCTGGTCGTTGGCGTCCGTCACGTGGTAGTAGGCACCCTCGGGGTAGTAGTAGTCATCGGCGGTGGCAGCGGTCTCAGGGGCTCCGTCATCTCGTTGCATCAAACGGATATGGGGCGGGGGAAGAAAGCAAAGCAAACGTGAGTACTCATCTGAAGTACTCAGCAAGCAAGGATCTACACTACATATGCAACATTATCAAAGGAAGGTTGTATATGTGGACTGGGCTGCAGAAATGCCAGAATAGAGGGGAAAGCCTAGTCCTATCGAAGACTAGCATCTTCAGCGGTCTTGCAGCATTAG